GTAGGTGACATTAAAGATGGTGGTATCAACGTAGGTGACATTAAAGATAGGATCTTTAATGTCACCTACATTGATACCCCTATTTTTAATGTCACCTACGTTGATACCGCTATCTTTAATGTCACCTACGTTGATACCACTATCTTTAATGTCACCTACGTTGATACCACTATCTTTAATGTCACCTACATTGATACCCCTATCTTTAATGTCACCTACATTGATACCGCTATCTTTAATGTCACCTACGTTGATACCGCTATCTTTAATGTCATCTATGTTGATACCACATTGATAGCTCTATCTTTAATGTCACCTATGTTGATACCACCACTATCTTTAATGTCATCTACGTTGATACCGCTATCTTTAATGTCACCTACGTTGATACCTCTTTAATGTCACCTACGTTGATACCACCATCTTTAATGTCACCTACGTTGATACCCCTATCTTTAATGTCACCTATAGCGGTATCAACGTAGGTGACATTAAAGATAGCGGTATCAACGTAGGTGACATTAGAGATAGCGGTATCAACATAGGTGACATTAAAGATAGTGGTATCAACGTAGGTGACATTAAAGATAGCGGTATCAACATAGGTGACATTAAAGATAGCGGTATCAACATAGATGACATTAAAGATAGTGGTATCAATGTAGGTGACATTAAAGATAGCAGTATCAACGTAATTGACATTAAAGATAGCGGTATCAACAGGTGACATTAAAGATAGCGGTATCAACGTAGGTGACATTAAAGATGGTGGTATCAACGTAGGTGACATTAAAGATAGCGGTATCAACGTATGTGACATTAAAGATAGTGGTATCAACGTAGGTGACATTAAAGACATTGTTCATCAAATTCTATAAAATGTTTGATCACAAAATATGAATCTCAATCATGTAAGCATGTTCTGAAGGTAGATTTCCTTGTGAATTAACCCATGAAACTTGATAGTGTGAACAGTTTCTGAAGGTATATCTTCCTTCTTCACTGATGTTTCACTTTTGAAACCTGATAATGTAAACATGTTCAGAAAATGGATCTTCCAATGAGAAAGGAGTACCTATCTTCTGAAAACATTAAGGTTTCTTTTTGTGATTTGTTAATTTTCTGATCGTACGGGATTTCTTAACATCATGAAAGCACTTTGTAGCTGAGTCTCCAGTCCTTGTACGATATATGGTATTAGTTAAAACAGATTTCACACGTTGTGCAGTACAAACTGAATGTCAACTTTATGTAGATTTCATGGAAGAATATCAAGGGAAGAAGCAGAGCTATTGCTTCAAGGAGGGGATGGTTCTTACCTTGTACGAGAAAGCCAAAGAGCACCAGGCCAGTATACGTTAGGTCTTAGGTAAGATTATTTTTTGTTAACAATGTACTTTTCTTGAAGTTATAATAATGAATTGGTGACTGCTTATAGCAAGCTCATATAACTAATGGTTTTAAGTTCCTTAAGATATTTGATAGTTATAACATTCTGAGGGATTGTAAATATCATTCTAAAATGATAAAAAAACATTTGTTTCATTAGTAAGTTTGGATTATTTAAATAAAGCATTAATGCTAGTTATTAAAAGAATAATAAATTGAACATACAGTTTGCAAGACAGGGAGACATGTTTCCCAAACAAAGCTTTCCAGTACTCTGTTTTTTAAAATTCTAAATTGACATTTGAACTTCTTGCAATATCTGGAACCTGAATTTCTTACCAGCATGGCCAAATTTTCGCTGGTTTCCAGGCTAGAAACGGGTAAAATCTATACTCTCGTATAAAATCCTGCATAAAACATTGTAGTAGCTGGACATGTTAGACAATACAAGATCTGATTCTTCATCTTTTATGAAGATGTGTTCTCTGTTGTTTTCGTGACTTATGGCCGACAAAGCTCCATGTAGCTTTGTGGTTCCAGCTTTAACATATTTTGTGCAAGTGGAACACAGTCTGGCCAATCCCCTAAACTTGGGATCTTCATGGCCAAAAACTATTGACAGGTGAGTTTTTGTGTGTGTTTTTTAAGTTAAAAATCAAGTTCTATATCATAGTATATATTGTTTGGTTCTAACTTGAATAGTGGAAACCGTAATATTTTCTGTAGCCCACCCAATCCCTTGAATTTATTGATACACAGACTAGGCGTTGAACAATAATCATTTCCAGTTTACAAATAAAAACTTTAATAGTTAATAAAACAAGAGGTGTTACAATAGTGTTTTGAAAAACTGAGGATAGAAACCGGGTGGAATTGGAACCTATGAATTTACTTTAATCACTGGAACTCTCATGTTTCAAAAGTAATGATTCTTACTTTTTGCTTCATTAAGCATGATGTATGGAGTTTGGCAGGACTCTTTAAGTTATGAAATCAGGTACCTGATGAACGATAAAAGCTTGTTGAAACATTGTAATTTTGTAATAAAGTATCCTTCATTACATTATCCATTCAAGCCGTCTCCAAGCTTTATTATTTAGAAGTAGGTTTCAATAACAATAAACTATACAAAGAGTGGAATAAGATATTTGGGAGATGCCGAAAAAAAAAAGATAAATAGAGGCACTTAAAATAATTTGTATTAAAATGAATTTTAACATATTTTGGACTTCTGTGATTATTGTCAGCCAGGTTGTATTTGATTTTTGTTTCTCCTACTCTTTATTCAGGTTCATGAGAAGGTCAAGGGACGAGATAAACTATGTTAAAAGTAGTGCTGATTCTGTGTTTTTTTTTACACCTGTTTTGTTAGTATAAATTAAGTCTATATTAACATTGTTCTTTGTGCTTGAAAAATGAAACAAGTATAAATGGGAGAAACACGGCATTTTGAACAGGAGCAGATCTAATGTTTAACTGTTATTTTTTACACACTAAAAAATATGTGGTCATAAAGGTTATTCATTGGGCATTGTGAAGATATGTCGGTATTGCCACACATAATCTAAAATGTGGCATTTGAGCAGATATTAGCTTGAAGGTTTCTTTTGACTAGGTTTGGAGGAATGACTAAGAACTACCGCCTGTATTATGACTAGATATTAGCTTGAAGGTTTCTTTCGACTAGGTTTGGAGGAATGACTAAGAACTACCGCCTGTATTATGAGTAGATATTAGCTTGAAGGTTTTTTTTCGACTAGGTTTGGAGGAATGACTAAGAACTACCGCCTGTATTATGAGTAGATATTAGCTTGAAGGTTTCTTTCGACTAGGTTTGGAGGAATGACTAAGAACTACCGCCTGTATTATGAGTAGATATTAGCTTGAAGGTTTCTTTCGACTAGGTTTGGAGGAATGACTAAGAACTACCGCCTGTATTATGATGGAAAGCACTACGTAGGAGAGAAGAAGTTTGACACAGTACAGGATCTGGTCACCGATGGTTTGATCACTCTGTACCTGGAAGCCAATGCAGGAGAATACATTGCAAAGATGTGTGTTCAGTCAAGATATGAGCAGAGTCCCTATATGACGCTGAACTCGTACAAGAGGAAGCTACAGAACATGAGAGTTGTAAAGAGAAGAAGTATATCAAGCCAAGGGAGTAAAAGCAACAGCCTTAAGTCAGCAAATGAATATGATAGATCTGAAGATGGGAGTATTGTAAGTTTCTTGATTGGTTACTTATATTAGGATAGGTTGAACTTTGTGTTAAGCCCTCGGAATTGGCAACAGCGTAGGGCACAGCTGTGAAATCTTGTGATAAATGACAAGTACCCACGGTTCCAAGTATTAATTATATAAATGTCAAATGTTTTACTTTAATTTGTACATAACATATCTGTTTACATAACTTAGCTACGTACATTGCTTGAGGAAAGGCCAAGCAAAAAGTAAGTAGGTAACAGTACAGATCTAGAAATAAACAACCTTACAACTTGGAACTGTTCTTTTTATTTAAATAGAGTTAAATGAATTATGGTTTGTGTGAACGCTCCTGAAGAGGCTGTAAAGTGTCTAATCAAATAGAAACAACATTCTGGTGATATAAGGTCCTTTATTTCTAGTATTAGAATCTCTTCTGTACACCAATATCCACTACAGAAATTACAAATTTAATCTCCACTTCTCTGGTGATATAAGGTCCTTTATTTCTAGTATTAGAATCTCTTCTGTACACCAATATGCACTACAGAAATTACAAATTTAGTCTACACTTCTAATGTGTATTTTAATATTTCGTGTTTAGTAACTTTTACAATGTATTAGTTCAATCAATAAAACAGTTTTAAGTCAAAATATTATTCAAAACCAAAACTAATACACAAGAACTTTATTACTTTAAATTGACATGTTTTAGGTAATTGTTTATACAGAGCAAATAATAAAGATAAGAAAAATAATATCAAGGTTTGAAAACAAAGCTGTTAGAAGTCTTTTACTGTATTTAGTTAGCATTGAATAATAGTAATATTTTTCTTAACTAATATTGTTTGATTTTGGCTTTCTGTGAAAGTTAAACATCTTATGATGGATAGAACATGACAAAGTTTACGACTCGGGTATATCTTGGAAAGCTGCCTATAATTTTACTAAATATAAAAACCTAATATAAGTTTGCTTCTGTTGTACCTTGTTTTTGTATTGAGTGCATCCTTAAGTAGAAGAATCTCTTCTAAACAACGTATAATGACATTTGTCTCGATTGATATATGTACGGTGGCATTTGTTTGCTGTTAGCTTGATGTCCTAATTTCAAGGACTTGTATTAAGATAATTAATTAGATTTGTAAACTAGTTCTGTTGTCTGTTGTCCTTCCATTTTTTGAGTTTAGTTACCCAATTGCTGTACATTATGTAATAATCTCAGAAAAATATACCATGTAGTTTTACCATTGCATGAATGATGCCATCTGCATACTTTAAGGGTTTAAATAATCTTCTATGTTTAAAACTTTAGACAACTTTTATTAGGCATGCTGGTATCTTACTTAATGCAGAGTTCATTCTCATTCTGATATTAAGACAGTTATTATTAAATACGTTGCATATGAGGGCTCCTCAGTTGAAACCTTAAGACATTGTTTTGTAAGACACCAGGGATTATGGTGTAATTCAGGGTTCAAATGATAGTTACCTATCTACTTCAAATCTTTGATTTAATAAACTTTTGTTAGACGTAGCTTTCTTTAATAATCCAGGGTTCATTCTCCTCTATTTAAAATGATTCATGTTAGATATGTGTGTTGTATAATCCAGGGTTCTTTCTCTTCAGTTTAAAATGATTCATGTTAGATATGTGTGTTGTATAATCCAAGGTTCTTTCTCTTCAGGTTAAAATGATTTATGTTAGATATGTGTGTTGTATAATCCAAGGTTCTTTCTCCTCTATTTAAAATGATTCGTGTTAGATATGTGTGTTGTATAATCCAAGGTTCTTTCTCTTCAGTTTAAAATGATTCGTGTTAGATATGTGTGTTGTATAATCCAAGGTTCTTTCTCTTCTATTTAAAATGATTCATGTTAGATATGTGTGTTGTATAATCCAAGGGTTCATTTTCTTCAATTTTAAATAATTCATGTTAGATATGTTTGTTTGTCTGGGCTATGCCCAGTTAGGTACTTAAATATGCAAATGGAGTTTTTGACACATTCTGTGTTGTCTGATTCTTTCATGTTCATTTGGCAAATCTCAGTTAAGCTTATATACATCTATGAAGATTTTGTCACACATTCTTTACTCATTTTCATTGTTTGTTTTTACACATTCATTTTTATCTATCATCTGCCCTGTAATGAAGGTATGTTGTGTGAATGAGGAACTGTTATGGTTTCTGTGTGTATTGTCTGCTCTGTAATGAAGGTAAGATGTGTGAATTAGGAACTGTTATGGTTTCTGTGTGTATTGTCTGCCCTGTAATGAAGGTAAGATGTGTGAATGAGGAACTGTTGTGGTTTCTGTGTGTATTGTCTGCTCTATAATGAAGGTAAGTTGTGTGAATTAGGAACTATTATGGTTTCTGTGTGTATTGTCTGCCCTGTAATGAAGGTAAGATGTGTGAATGAGGAACTGTTATGGTTTCTGTGTGTATTGTCTGCCCTGTAATGAAGGTAAGTTGTGTGAATGAGGAACTGTTATGGTTTCTGGGTGTATTGTCTGCTCTGTAATGAAGGTAAGTTGTGTGAATGAGGAACTGTTATGGTTTCTGTGTGTATTGTCTGCTCTGTAATGAAGGTAAGTTGTGTGAATTAGGAACTATTATGGTTTCTGTGTGTATTATCTGCTCTGTAATGAAGGTAAGATGTCTCTATGTGTGTTTCTTTTTATTTTACAGAATGATGGAGGGGGTCCTATTATGGCTGGCCTTAATGTTCATCGTTTTGAAAAGCCACATAACTTTAAGGTAAGCCAATTCTGCTTGTATAAATACCTATTCTGTTTGTCAGAAGAAAAATATTGAAATCTGTTTAATGTCTTATTAATGCAAGTTTAAAAGCTAAGTAGTTAAACAAAAAGAAAGGAATGTTACACATTTATTGTATTTCAGTGATATATAAAAGTTTCCCAGAGAAGCAGCATATAACTGATATAAAAGACAGTGTGTGTCACGTCACTTATGATTTCTCCAAATAAGAGGAGTCATAAAAGCCAAAATGGATTTATCCAGATAGAATAGTTCGATTACTGTCTGCCCATTATGATTTTAGTGATCGGGTGCAAGGGGGCACGAGAGGGTGGGGGGGCCATGAAACCTTATAAGAGTAGTGAATGTTGGTGTACTAAGTTTAAACAAGAGATGTAGTGTGGGATCACCTAGCCTAGAGCCAAGTGTATAAAATTTATCATGAAAGTAAAAATATCAATTTAATTTCAAACATAAATCATTTCTGTATTAATCTATTTTCTGTTATATCACCAACATTTTAAATAAAAAACAAACCTCTTTAATCAACAGAGACTCTAAATCAAGAAATGAACAGATATTTTTCCAGTTTTGTTGTTTATACATTTCATTTTATACTTTCAATACATAGACTAACAACAATATTAGGCTATACCTTTGTTGCTAATCAACATGACATAAAAGCCATTGTTGGAATGTAGTGTTACTAAAACACACTGGCTTTTCTATATATTAGAAGTTGTTAATCTAACTGATTTTTACCAATAATTATTCCATGAATATGCCACAAATTCATTTCGTGAATGACATTAATTTTGATTGACTCACAAAGGAATTTACCAACGTTTGACAGCCTCGACTGTACTTTTCTGCTTCTTTGTTGGTCAAGCTTGATTTCGCAAAATTTATTTATTTCAGTTAGCTATGAAGTGTGAGGTTAGGGTATACTAACGTGTGGGGGTGGTAGGACTTGTAAGGTTTTGGGATCCCAAGACTTTTAATTATCATCCTATTATGTGTGAAATTTGAATGAGACATAGGAAGTACGATGCATGCATACAAAACAACTTTGTAATAACATAAGTAGTAGAGTTGAGGGACATCGTGAACCAGGAAGTGCTTTTGCATATTTGTAAGTGTGTCTCATTTCTGGTACAATACAACCAAAAATGACAGTGTTAAAGGGTGTTAGAGACATTTTGCTTTAATAATGGTCAAGAAAAACTATACCTAAGTGTTGTTAAAGTAAAATAAAGGTGACACATGGAGACTGACTGAAAAATAAATGCTAAACAAATCAACTTCGAAAGACAGGCATGGAAAATTATCCTTAATAAATAGGGGTAAACATTGAGAGTTCACACTACATGGAAAATTATCCTTAATAAATAGGGGTAAAGATTGAGAGTTCACACTACATGGAAAATTATCCTTAATAAATAGGGGTAAACATTGAGAGTTCACACTACATGGAAAATTATCCTTAATAAATAGGGGTAAACATTGAGAGTTCACACTACATGGAAAATTATCCTTAATAAATAGGGGTAAACATTGAGAATTCACACTACATGGAAAAAAAAAATATTTTTTCTGACAGAGAACAAACCAATGATCGGAGATCACTGATTCTGGGATCTAGATTCATTCCACAAGGTTGAACAGTGTTTACATTTAGCAATCCAATAAGCTTCTTTTATCTCTGTCAGCTTTAGTTTTAAAATTGGTTTCAAAGTTCCATGAAAAAAATAACAGGAGATTTAAGAATTTATTTGTAAATAGTAATAATAATATATATATATATATGTAATGTATGATAACTGAAGTGTGATTGTATTTTACAAAATACTGTTACTCAAGTACTAAGACTAAGAAGGGTAAGACATTTGAACTTTGTAAAGGTCAGTTTTATGTTGTTTGATATGTAACATGAGTTATTAGTCAGACATAGTTCAAAGGTCAATAAAACAAAAAAATTAATACATATAAATAGATATATACTTTTATGAGGTCAGTCAAGTTAAGGTAGAAGAAATAACATATAAATTAAAATTTTTCTTTAAAAAATGTCTGATAGTTATCTAGGAGGTTATAGAGTATAACCTCCTAGATAACTATCAGACATCAGATGTCTGATAGTTATCTAGGAGGCTATAGAGATGTCTGATAGTTATCTAGGAGGTTATAGAGATGTCTAATAGTTATCCAGGAGGTTATAGAGATGTCTGATAGTTATCTAGGAGGTTACAGAGATGTCTGATAGTTATCTAGGAGGTTATAGAGATGTCTAATAGTTATCCAGGAGGTTATAGAGATGTCTGATAGTTATCTAGGAGGTTACAGAGATGTCTGATAGTTATCTAGGAGGTTATAGAGATGTCTGATAGTTATCTTGGAGGCTATAGAGATGTCTGACAGTTATCTAGGAGGTTACAGAGATGTCTGATAGTTATCTAGGAGGTTACAGAGATGTCTGATAGTTATCTAGGAGGTTATAGAGATTATGCAACTTAAATTGGACAATTTTCAGATAAAGAAAAGTAATTTTTAGTCTTAAAATAAAAATTACTTTGCATATTTGATATTCAACATTCTGAAAGAAAGAATTCACAATCTTTAATTAAATAATCTTAATACTTAATTGAAAAACCTGATATTCTGTGTACAAAAGCCTGGTAACGTTTATGATAATCTGTGAAATGTAATGAAGATATGCGTACATTATCAAAAGTTATTGTGTGACTACTTTCATGGTTACTTTGGTGGTTATATACTAGGTGCAATGGACCCAGCTCCATAGTCAAAGAGTTAACAATAAAAAGTTTGGTTTTGAAGTGTTATAGCTAACTTTTCATAGTTATTTAATACTGAAATTTATTTCTTTACTTTTCTGTTCTTACTTTTTATGTATTTCTGGGTTAAAACATTACAATCACTAGACCTTACCTTATTAACATATCTTTGTGAAGGTTTATTTGTAATAACCATTAAACTTATTATGTCTTCTTTATATGTTGTTTAATACTGAAATTTATTTCTTTACTTTTCTGTTCTTACTTTTTTATGTATTTCTGGGTTAAAACATTATAATCACTAGACCTCACCTTATTAACATATCTTTGTGAAGGTTTATTTGTAATAACCATTAAAGTTATTATGTTGTTTAATACTCCTTAGAATGATTGTACTTGTTTCTTCCAGACTCACAACTTTAAAGGATTTCCATGGTGTGATTTATGTGGTAACTTCATGTGGGGTATTATTGCACAAGGTTTGAAGTGTGAAGGTAAGGGAAGGGACTGAATACAAATGTAGGACTATTTTAATTCATTCAGATTTGTGCAGCATACATTTAAAACAAGAATTATTACCTTTAATTTTTCTTAATGTAGAATAAAAAATATGAAGGTTTAGTTATGTGAAGGCAACATTACTTCATGAAATGTTTAATAAAGGAAATATTCAGTTCAGAACATAACAGTGAGAGAAGTTTCTGTTCATAAACTTTCATAAGTATATTTACCTATTTAGATTTCTAAAACTTAGACTTGCTGCTATCAAAATGGTAAAGTATTAACTAAGATAGAAGATAAAAGGACACTAGCTGTCTGATTTGAATAATGATCTGCCCAAAACGTTGTCTTCTTGTTATTCAGACTTGACATATAGTTCAGTGTTATTATTCCTTAAGCTTATAAATTGCTTGAAAACGTACATTTTTAGTAAAGAAATTCTCAATAGAAAGGCATTTAAAAAAAGTGAATAAGAAATATCCAGCAGCATTGTTGATATTACATATTATTCAAATGGTTGGTTTGAATCTGTTAGCATATTGAAACTAGTACCTTTACAGCTGTTTATCTCTGAGTGAGAATTTCTGATATTAGAGAATAAAAAATATACATTGTTATCTCTATTTCTTGATATATTAACTATCCACCAGCATTGTTGATATTATCTCTATTTCTTGATATATTGACTATCCACCAGCATTGTTGATATTATCTCTATTTCTTGATATATTGACTATCCACCATTATTGTTGATATTATCTCTATTTCTTGATATATTGACTATCCACCAGCATTGTTGATATTACGTATTATATAAGTGATTGGTTTGAGTCCATTAGTTTATCAAAACTAGTACATGGACAGTTGTTTATATTCTAGTGTGAATCTCTGATATTAGAGATATACATTGTTATCTCTATTTCTTGATATATTGACTATCCACCAGCATTGTTGATATTACGTATTATTCAAGTGATTGGTTTGAGTCCATTAGTTTATCAAAACATGGACAGTTGTTTATATTCTAGTGTGAATCTCTGATATTAGAGATATACATTGTTATCTCTATTTCTTGATATATTTTATACATGGTATTTCATTTTGTGCATGTAAAATAAAGATGTATAATAGTGGTCACATAGTTTGTTGTTTTTTACTTGATTTGAAAAGGTATTTATCCCTGACCTATGTTAACATTTTTTTCCAGATTGTGGTTTTAGTGCTCATCGAAAGTGTTCGGAAAACATTCCAAATGACTGCCTTCCAGACCTGAAGTATGTGAAGCGTGTGTTTGGCATAGATCTAACAACATTAGTGAAGGCCCACAATACACCAAGACCATTTGTAGTTGATTTGTGTGTTAAAGAAATTGAAAGCAGAGGTAAAGTAAACTTAACGTTTCTCCGTGGCTACTTTACATTGGTACAAGTTACTTGGCTATTTTACATTGCTACAAGGTCATGTAATGCACACATGTACTTGACTACTCTTCATGGCTACAAGGTTGTGTAAAACACACACATACACGTACTTGGTTACTTTACATTAGTGCAGTAATACCATTAGTATAAAAAAAGTAGGTTAAGTGTCATCAACAGTTGACAGCAAACAAAAGGACCCAGGTAAGTAGTTTATTTTCTGTTTTTCGTATGTATTCTTTATTTATCATTATAAAAGTAACTAAAATGCAAAAATCAGAAACTTTTTAGGTAAGTAAAGGTTAGATTAATAATAATAATACAAACTTTCCAGTGCATTATGTAATTTGAAAGGTTAACACGAGATTTACGTTCGCCAAGTGTTTACAACTTATGTGGCAGAAATATTGGTTAGACACGCTTCAAAGAGCAATAAAATATAAGTAGAAATAAATGTTATGAGTTTAAAGCTATTTAGGATAAAGAAATATAGATTCATGTTGCACATAAAAGTTATTCTAGAAATAAAAAAAGGGAATTGAGATTCATTTAGAATTTTTTTTGTTAGTTACAAGATCGTATAGAGTTACAATAGAGACAAAACAGATAAAGTTTTACTGCAAAAATATGTTTGAAATCTATTTAGGAGGTTTTAGAGATTACGAAAATGAAATTTGAAAATTTTAAGACAAACAAAAGTATTTTTAATCTTAACACAAAAATAACTTTGCACTCGGAGCAGTCAATAAGTTGACTTCATATATTCATGGAATATATATTCATATATTTTAGTGAAAATACTTCCTTGGAAAATTTGATATTTTGTCAACAAAAGACTTAATAATTACTCAAAGCTTGCAAAATTTCTTGAAAATACACAAATCAGAAGTCAGTTTTGGGTCATGGATTTGGCTGAACCCATAGTGAAACAGTTAGTACATGTACATTACTATTTAACATTGCTACAGAGCTAATTAACATATGTACATGGCTATTTTTCATTGCTGCATGGCCACTTAACAGCTATACATGACCACCTTACATTGTTATGTGGACACTTTACACTGCTACTTGTCTCTCTAGCATAGCTGTATAACCACCTTACATTCTTATATGTACACTTTATATTGGTATCTAACTACATAGCCTAACAACATAACCACCTTACATTAATACATCTACACTTTATGTTGGTATCTGTCTCTCTAGCATAGCTGTATAACCACCTTACATTCTTATATGTACACTTTATATTGGTATCTAACTACATAGCCTAACTACATAACCACCTTATATTAATACATCTACACTTTATGTTGGTATCTGTCTCTCTAGCATAGCTGTATAACCACCTTACATTAATACATCTACACTTTATGTTGGTATCTGTCTCTCAAGCATAGCTGTATAACCACCTTACATTCTTATATGTACACTTTATATTGGTATCTAACTACATAACCACTACACTTTATGTTGGTATCTGGCTACATGTCCTAGAAGATATTACCAACATGAAAACAAATTATTCATGAGTTGCATGTCCTTAGCAGATATTACTGACATGAAAACAAGTTATTCATGAGTTGCATGTCCTTAGCAGATATTACTGACATGAAAACAAGTTATTCATGAGTTGCATGTAGTTAGCAGATATTACTGATATGAAAACAAGTTATTCATGAGTTGCATGTAGTTAGCAGATATTACTGACATGAAAACAAGTTATTCATGAGTTGCATGTCCTTAGCAGATGTTACTGACATGAAAACAAGTTATTCATGAGTTGCATGTCCTTAGCAGATGTTACTGATGTGAAAACAAGTTATTCATGAGTTGCATGTCCTTAGCAGATATTACTGATATGAAAACAAGTTATTCATGAGTTGCATACTCTTAGCAGATATTACTGACATGAAAACAAGTTATTCATGAGTTGCATGTCCTTAGCAGATATTACTGACATGAAAACAAGTTATTCATGAGTTGCATGTCCTAAGTGAATATTAGTGACGTGAATCTACAGGAAGTTTTATGTTTAAAAAAAGCAACTCAAACCTGGCTAGTGTTTGCTTACTGTTTTAAATTTAGGGATTAAAACCTAAAACAATGTGCATTAATTTACAGGAGAGGTTTACTGGCCAGTTGTTGTAGTGTTATGCATCAAGCCAGTTTTTAAAATGATTTTGTGTGTTGTTTACATTCCTGGATTATAGAATGTTTTTCTGCTAATTTCAAGCCATGTACAGGTTAAATCATGTGGTTAACGTAGCCTTTCTTGTTTAATGTAATATATTATTATTTCACTTTTGGGAAAAAAAGAACACCCAAAAAAAAGGTCAGTATGTCCTTCAAGCTGTTGGTAAAGTTGGTTATTCAGGACTGAAAATAGCAGTGTTGTGAATCTCTAAGTTTAGTAGCCTTTTGGTTCTAGATACCAAAACTTGAAATTAAGTAAGCATGCATAATATAAATATTTTTTATACTTTAGTTGTTTTCACACAAAGTGTCTTGATGTTCTTCCACGTCCAAACCATACATCTTAAGGACATAGTTTTGGGTTTCATTAGGAACCTAGATGAATTATTTATTTATTTGTCCTTTTAAACTGGTTGTAACAAAGCTTTTAGAGATATGTAAAAATTAGTTTTTTATTGAGTTACAGTAATACATCTTCAAGTATCTTTATTGGATGATTCTCTCATCTCATTCAATTACCTTCTTAATATTGTTTGTTGGTTCTTGTATTCATTAAGGGTTAGATGCAGAAGGCTTATACAGAGTCTCCGGGTTCAGTGATGAAATAGAAGCAGTTCGGATGGCCTTTGAAAAGGGTAGGTTGAACACACGCTCTCCATGAGTGATCTTGCAAGTTAACCATGTAATTAACTTTTCATTTGTAAATTTGTTTATTCTTTTAAAGTCTTTGTTATACTAAAATATTTTGGTATTTTGTCGTAAAGACTTTGTTTAGTTTCAATACTTCCACTTGAGTTATGTGCGTAGAAAATAACTGCCATACATCATGATGTATTCCATAACAGCAGGAATCATGAGGGCATCCCATGATGGTTTGAGAGGCTTCGTTAATTGTGTTTGTAATTTATGTATATTCTAAATATGGTTTCAGTATAATAATTTCTGATCAAGATTATTAAACAGTGTCAAGGGTTATGATATTCAGTAAAAGCTTCAAAGTATTGATGGTCTCATTACTTCATCTACTATTGGTGGAAGCTCAAACCTTAAATTGTACAATCTTTTTAACAGTTCTTTCAAACATTTGTTCATCACGTCTTTTCTAAACATCTCCTTGATGTTAATGTTGCTTAATATAATAAATTTCTTTGTTCTACTTGTTTTCTAAAGTGCAAGGAAATGTAAAAATAATCATTAATTAGGTGAAAGATTTGACCAGTTAGCTCTGTAGAATATGTATTTTTATGAGATCATTAGGTATATGGTGCGCTTGTTTTAGTTTGTCCTTGTACGTGTGTAATGTGTACCTTTAGGTATATGGTGTGCTTGTTTTAGTTTGTCCTTGTACGTGTGTAATGTGTACCTTTAGGTATATGGTGTGTTTGTTTTAGTTTGTCCTTGTACATGTGTAATGTGTACCTTTAGGTATATGGTGTGTTTGTTTTAGTTTATCCTTGTACGTGTGTAACGTGTACCTTTAGGTATATGGTGTGTTTGTTTTAGTTTATCCTTGTACATGTGTAATGTGTACCTTTAGGTATATGGTGTGTTTGTTTTAGTTTATCCTTGTACGTGTGTAACGTGTACCTTTAGGTATATGGTGTGTTTGTTTTAGCTGATCCTTGTACATGTGTAATGTGTACCTTTAGGTATATGGTGTGTTTGTTTTACTTTGTCCTTGTATGTCTGTAACATGTACCTTTAGGCATATGGAAAATTATTGTGACAACTTTTTACCCTTGCATGTATTTGGTCTAGAATAATGATGTAATTACTGCAATATTAAAATGTATACAGTTAGATGTGTACCTTATGTATACGGTTTACATATGTACCTTATGTATAAAGTTTACATATATACATTATGTAGACAGGTAGATATATAATTTATGTATACAGTTAGATATATAACTTATGTGTAGAGTTAGATATATATCTTATGTATACGGTTAGATATATATATACCTTATGTATACGGTTAGATATATAACTTATGTATACGGTTTACATATATATCTTATGTATAAAGTTAGATATATATAACTTATGTGTAGAGTTAGATATATAACTTATGTATACAGTTAGATATATAACTTATGCATATGGTTAGATATATATAATTTATGTATACAGTTAGATATATAACTTATGCTTATGGTTAGATATATAACTTATGTGTAGAGTTAGATATATATCTTATGTATACGGTTAGATATATATATACCTTATGTAAATGGTTTAGATATATATCTTTCATATATGTTTAAATATATACCTTATGCTACAGATGGAGAAAATGCAGATCTTAGCAGTACAGCATGTGAAGATGTTCACGTAATCACAGGGGTGTTGAAGCTCTTCTTCCGACTGCTGCCGATACCCCTTATCACTTACGACACTTATCCTCTCTTCATGAATGCTGTTAGTAAGTAATCATTAGTTTGTTCATAATAGTTTAAATTTAATAAATGTTTTGCATGTTAATACTCATATGTGGACTTGGGATCTGTTTATAACCATTTGTTGTATTCAGTAGGTGGATATGTATGTACTTGTTTTGATTATGAGAACTTGGGAACTGTTTATAACCAAATAATTACATCACCTTTGAAAACACTTTATAATTTGCTTGGTGAACTTCACATGAAGATAATTTAAGATATTTGTTGCAGTTAAGAAGATGCACTTTTGTTACGTTTATGGACAAAGATTTTGGTAAGAAAATAAAAGTTACCAATTATTTCTTTAGGAAAGTCAACGATGGAAGAAAAGTTGGATAGCATAAAAGAGGCTGTTGCTAAGTTACCACCAGCACATTATCAAACCTTGAAGTACCTTATTCAACACCTGTACAGGCAAGATATTTTACCTGTGTTTTCTTTTAAGTAATACAGGAGATTGTTTACAGAGTGTCAGTTATACAATATTTCTCTGTGATAGTTCTATAACTTCTTTCCTATATATAATCTACTGTGATGATTGGGGTTGTAAAACTTCATTTGTGACTTAAGGGGTAGATGAGATCTTTACAATTTGTGACTTAAGGGGTAGATGAGATCTTTACAAGTTGAGACTGCTAAATGATGGAGATTTAAACTACATATTAAGCCCAGCATTCCAAACAAAACTACATCTTAAGCCCAGCATTCCAAACAAAACTACATATTAAGCCCAGCATTCCAAACAAAACTACATCTTAAGCCCAGCATTCCAAACAAAACTACATCTTAAGCCCAGAATTCCCAACAAAACTACACCTTAAGCCCAGAATTCCCAACAAAACTACATATTAAGTCCAGAATTCTCAACAAAACTACACCTTAAACTCAGCATTCCCAACAAAACTACACCTTAAATCCAGCATTCCCAACAAAACTACACCTTAAACTCAGCATTCCCAACAAAACTACACCTTAAATCCAGCATTCCTAACAAAACTACATGTTAAGCCCAGAATTCTCAACAAAACTACACCTTAAACTCAGCATTCCCAACAAAACTACATGTTAAGTCCAGAATTCTCAACAAAACTACATGTTAAGCCCAGAATTCTCAACAAAACTTCATGTTAAGCCCAGAATTCTCAACAAAACTACATCTTAAGTGCAGAATTCTCAACAAAACTACACCTTAAACCCAGCATTCCAACAAAACTACACCTTAAACCCAGCATTCCAACAAAACTACATCTTAAGTCCAGAATTCCCAACAAAACTACATCTTAAGCCCAGAATTCTCAACAAAACCACATCTTAAGCCCAGCATTCCCAACAAAACTATATCTTAAGTCCAGAATTCTCAACAAAACTACATCTTAAGCCCAGAATTCTCAACAAAACCACATCTTAAGCCCAGCATTCCCAACAAAACCACATCTTAAGCCCAGCATTCCCAACAAGACTACACCTTAAACCCATAATTCCCAACAAAACTACACCTTAAACCCAGAATTCCCAACAAAACTGCACCTTAAGTCCAGAATTCCCAACAAAACTACACCTTAAGCCCAGCATTCTCATCTCTGAGTAAAGACTATATCTGTGGGGGGAAAATTTCAAAAGTTTTGCCGTGAAGCTGGATATATTTTTTGTTACCATTAACAAGATATTAAACATATTTGACATAATCCCTAGGTTCACGGCCACACCAGCTTGCTGGAAACTTGATCATACAGAAGGTGTAAATGACCTTACCAAACTCACTGTTTTTAGTCAAAACTTGCTGTTGACATGGTTGAGGTTTTCTTTCTGTTAATCACAGAAATTGACACAATATAGATTTTTTTCAAATTCTCTAAAGAAACTTAAATAAAATCCTGTAAGATTTCATTATAAAATTACTGTTTAAGAAGCCAACCTTTTCCTAGCTTGAAAAAATTCTAAATTAAAGTGTCAGTTTCGTTCAGCAATCAGAGCAAGCAGTATAGGTATACCCATCAGTATTAGAAACCAGTTGGAATGTTATTCTTATAATAAGTTTCTGATAGAAATACAAGCAGTTTTTTGTCTCACTCTAAAACCTGAAAGAAAAGAAAATTCTTCAAGACAAGAACACTCTCTAAATTGTTTACAAAATACGTGTGATTGCATGTTAAAGAAAATATGAATTGATTAGATATACATTGTTTTTTTCTTCCACACTAGCTTGCTGGTTTGCCGAATAAAGAGCTGGTTAATTCAAGAAAAATAATGATTAATAACATATGGTGTTAAAACAAATAAATAGTATAGTGTTAAAAAATCCTTACTATTATCTATTCACCAACTTTACTCAGTTCATGTCATAATGTTTGATATTTTAAATAGCATCTGAATCATTACCATGTCTGTGGTATCTCAGCTGGCCCTGGTATTGGATGTTAGCACTGGATTTAGCTATTTTAGTGTGATTAACATACTGTTAATTTCTTCTTTACTTTTAATCATTAGTTATTACTACAAGTTCCAGTAAAAAGTGTTGTATTAGATGTTGTGTATGAATGACAATATGCAGAAATTGTGTACAAATTATTATGTTATTGAAATTAACCATTGTGTTTAAAGAGCAACAGATAATCTGTATGATGGTTTTTAAAACTGTCTCAAATTCTGATATGGTACGTTATCTCTTCTCACATATTCTTGTTCATTGCTGCCCTATATATATATGCAAAATAAAAGTTTTTTTTTGCATGCCACAAGCCTTGCATTCCCATGTACCCCACGATTATTGTGGTGCAACTGTGTCTTGCATGCAAATCATCATGCAACAACCCTCCACCAATAGAAGTGCGACACACTCTCCTGATGCATGTGACTCCCTCTATTTAATTCTACCAAACTATCACTTCTCTTTAGGCAGGTGTTAGAGTAAGACGTGTTTTGATTGTGCTCTCGTCACGTTTTTATTTTTTTGTATGAAATAGAAAGATCATTTATATCTTTTACTACTGTTTTATTTTTTTGAAGTTTTCAGTGATAACTTACCTTGGTTATTCTTATTTTTTATATGAATAATTTTAAAGTTTTTATCATTTTATGATGAATGCCAAAGTTAAGGTTATGACTCTGGAGGTTCTACCACCTGTTATCAATGCAATTACACAGGCTTCAGGTAGGGGGAACTCAACTGAGGAAGTTTTAGCCATAATTTGTTGGAGATTGAATATTATCCTGATAGAACTCTATTTCCTCCTGAACTTACCAAACCTGTTTGTGTTAACAATGAGGATTTGAACAGCCTTTTTCCTCCTGATTATGCTATGCCTCTCCTGCAGACTCTGCTTAGCCTAATTCATCCTTTTTAGACATGAGTTCTCATGTTTGTTCCATTTTATCCATTTCCCTGATTTTGTACAATCCTGTTCCTTCCTTATTACATGACACCCCTTCCTCCCAGTATTTTGTTTTTCCTCCTCCTCCTAATGTCGAGGTTCATGCTGAGCATTTTGTTTCTCATTTATGAGATGGTGCTAGCATGTACCATGGATAAGCTTGCCTTGGCTTAACATCAGGCACGTTACCTCTTTCTTGATTCTCAACAGTTAGAATCACTACTGCCAGTATGGGGGGGCTGACCCAGATAATCCTGTCCATTTATCTCAGACCCAGTTTTCTTACCTTCATTTTACCCTTACGACTCTCCTGTGGTACTTGTCCACCATACATTTTATTTCTGAGGCACTCCACCAATCCTCCGAGGGTTAATGTTGCTCCTGGCTCATGTGACTGTCTGGTTGGTACAGTTGCATATCATTTATATAGGCAATCCACTTCCATGTGGTGGTACCCGGAAGTTAGCAATGAGCTCCAATACTGTACAGTCCTGACCAAGGAGATGATGTTGTTTTGGAGTTGATCTGTAACTTTGTAGTTTACCCCTTCGACTGGTTGACTGGTTTTGGATTTCAAACAGGACCGATCAAAATAAGTCCTCACACATGTGTTTTTCCTATTCCTCACTCAAGGAGGCGACAGTTCTCCCTCTGACACTTCACCTCAAAGAGTTTTTGTGGCCAGAGGTTGCTGTTGTGGAGTGGGGTGCCTATCAGATTGAGTTTGTGTATGATGTGACCTCCCATGGGGGTACATCTTATTGGCATCATTTGGATGTCAGGTTCCCAGATATCTGGTTACCTGTGAATTGTGCACATTTCGTAGATTGGTGTTCACAGTATATATTTCCATTCTACACCTTGGAGCATATACAGTTTTGCTTTCACCCACATTATTGTCTGTAGAGGGTTCATATACAGCCTTTCTTCAACGGGATTGAGATTATGATATAATGTGGTTCGGATTCCAATCCAACTGTCTTCTCTCCCTTCGTTGTTTGTGCTCCTCCTTTTTTTTCAACAGTGTCTATGACACCTCTTTTCACACTGGACGAAGAGTATACCTGGTACAGAAGTGGTGCAGTCTCCCACATATGATTGAAAGAGTATACCTGGTACAGAAGTGGTGCAGTCTTCCACATATGATTCAAAGAGTATACCTGGTACAGAGGTGGTGCAGTCTTCCACATATGATTGAAAGAGTATACCTGGTACAGAAGTGGTGCAGTCTTCCACATATAATTCAAAGAGTATACCTGGTACAGAAGTGGTGCAGTCTTCCACATATGATTGAAAGAGTATACCTGGTACAGAAGTGGTACGTTCTTTCACATATAATTCAAAGAGTATACCTGGTACAGAAGTGGTACGTTCTTTCACATATAATTCAAAGAGTATACCTGGTACAGAGGTGGTACGTTCTCCCACATATGATTCTCTGTGAAGAGGATCATCAGTATATGGTGTCCTTCAGAGGATTTCAAAGGATGCTTCTTTCTTTCCCTCACACCGGTCTCTCCACTTCTTCAATGTGGGATATTTATGTGAGAAGAGGTAATGTACCGTATCGGAAGTTATAATTTTCCTATATTGAAAATATATTTCTGATAGGTACTTATCTCCTATCACCCTTCTTACCCACTGGAAACTAGTGCTTTCTTTTCTTCCTAAACTCAAAGTGATAGTTTGGTAGAATCAAATAGAGGGAGTCACATGCATCAGGTGGGTGTATCACATTTCTATTGGTGGAGGGCTGTCACATGATGATTTGCATGTAAGATGCAGTTGAATCACAATCATCTTGGGGAATGTGGGAGTGCAAGGCATATGGCATGCGGAAAAAAAATTTCATATTCGAGGGTATCACTGAACGAGAAGAGCTATATGTGTGAGAGGAGGTAAGTATCTATTGGAAATATGTTTTATAACTTTCATAGTAGAGACAGTTTATTTTTCTTTAAGCTATTAAGTTTTCCATGAGTTTCTCTTTAAAGAATCAAACATTGCTAACATGTTGATTGTTAAGTACACTGAACTTTGGTTCCTCAAAATGAGACAATGAATTTTAGCATGTTCTGTTTTTTTTTTCAGAGTCACAGAAAAACAAAAACAGAACCTTATGAGTATTCAGAACTTGGGCACAGTGTTCTGTCCGACACTGATGAGGACCCCTGACCTCATTTCTCAACCTGGACAACTCTCGGCTTGGCATCAGGAAAGTTTAGTCATAGAACTTCTCATTACTCATCACAGACTCTTATTAGACCACTGATAACAACAGAATTGTGTAAAATGTCTTACACATTTACCTTGATAAGCAGAAATGATGTAAGATATCTATATATTTATGTATGTATTATGTAATGAACATCACTTTTGAAGAAGAGGACGAAACTCTTTTAATATTTATAAGGACTCGGAGCATGTGGTACCAATGGACAGGAACAGCTGTCCTCATTACCCAAGTATTATATTTAGTAAATGTGATTACTTGACCAAGCTTCTTTTGATGAGTATCTTAGTGCAAAATGCCCAAATTTTTGGGAGAAATTTTATAGATTGATTTGTATAATAAGTCTAATTTTGCAAAGGCTTTCTGAAGGCCGTTTCAAAGAGTTGCCATTTCTGTATACGTCATAAAATGACTCCATAAAAAGCAAGTGTCTTTCAGCTTTGTCAGGTTAGTCATTGTGAAGATACATTTTTCTGATTGTTAAGTTTTTGTTCGTTTAGTTGTAGCTTTTTTCTGTGTAAAATAAGATGTACATTTATTAATTTTTCTGGAAGAAACTTGTTACAACTAGAAGAAATATTTATATTACATCTTTTGTTACTGTTATGAAATGACATCAACAAATTCAATTTAAGATTTTGTGCATTGACTTGTAACTTTTATGTTATGAGAGACTAAGGTTATATGTCTTATGTGATTAAAATATTGTGGTTATAGTTGTTGATATTATGTAAAACCAAAGTTTTTGAAAATTAGGTATTTATACTTTTACATCAATACTTGTTTAGTTTACTATAAAAAGAAACATATAAACAATATGACTTATTATGTATATTACAAAATGTAACTGACAGTAGGATAGGTTAGGTAGGTTTTCTAGATTGACCAAACCCTAGATTCAAGAAAAATTTAATGGACTATTTTAAATTGTGAGTGTACAGTTTTCTTATTTTGGTGCAAGGAAGTCGCACGAAAACACTTCGTTAGCTTATTGAGAGGATGTCCGTCAAGTATAGTCCTGTTGTTTCATTAGCTAGATGTTCTACATGTAGAGGCCACAGTCTCAGCTAAACAAAAGGAAACCACAGATGTTGAGTTCTGCTGTTTCTAGATGGAAGCTGATTCATCACAAATCAGAATTAAAAGTTTTCTATTGCAATTATCCACCTTTTTGATAAAAAGATCATTAGATACCATCGGAGTTGGCTGGTTTAATTTGTCACTGTTGGTTAAGGGCTGAGCAGATTAAAATGTTATACTCCAGCAAGATCCATTGAACATATAGTACCAGAATAATCTATGTTGAACCTGAAAAACAGCATTCTACAGAACATATACACTAGAATAATCTATGTTGAACCTGATCTACAGCATTCTACAGAACATATGCACTAGAATAATCTGTGTTGAACCTGATCTACAGCATTCTATAGAACATATAATACCAGAATAATCTGTGTTGAACCCGAACTACATCATTCTACAGAACATATACACTAGAATAATTTATGTTGAACCTGATCTACAGCATTCTACAGAACATATACACTAGAATAATCTATGTTGAACCTGATCTACAGCATTCTACAGAACATATACACTAGAATAATTTATGTTGAACCTGATCTACAGCATTCTACAGAACATATACTGTACAATAATTTATGTTGAACCTGATCTACAGCATTCTACAGAACATATACACTAGAATAATTTATGTTGAACCTGATCTACAGCATTCTACAGAACATATACACTACAATAATTTATGTTGAACCTGATCTACAGCATTCTACAGAACATATACACTAGAATAATTTATGTTGAACCTGATCTACAGCATTCTACAGAACATATACACTACAATAATTTATGTTGAACCTGATCTACAGCATTCTACAGAACATATACACTAGAATAATTTATGT